CGGTAGTTGAGAGAGCAACACATTTTTGTAATTTAGATTGCCATGCCACAGCTCCCCCTGCAAAAGTCATCAAATACCCCGAAGTAGATTTCTTAGAATCAACATCACCGGCCATGTCAGAATCTGTGAACCTATCCAGCATCGGCTTACCATCCCTAAAACACAAACACACCTTCGAAGTCCCTCGAAGATATCTCAGAATCCATTTTACCGCTGCGCAATGTTCTTTACCCGGATTAGAGAGAAACCGACTCACTACACCAACGGCGTGAGCAATATCCGGCCTTGTACAAACCATGTCGTACATCAAAGAACCAACTACTGAAGCATAAGGAATTTTCTGCATCTCTTCCTTGTCTTTCTCACTTGTAGGACATTGATTCGAACTACGCTTGAAGTGACCCGCAAGTAGACAACCAACCGGCTTTGGTTTATTCATGTTGAACCTCTCAAGAACTTTCTCAATGTAGCTTTCTTGAGACAACCAAATCAGCCTCTCTCTGCGATCATGAACAATTTTCATACCAAGTATTTGCTTTGCTGGTTCCAAATCTTTAATAGCAAAAGATTTACTCAACTCTAACTTCAACTTGTTAATCATGGTAGAATCTTGACCCACAATTAACATGTCATCAACATAAAGCAAAAGAATAATAAATTTACCATCCGAGAAATTTTTCACAAACACACAATGGTCCGAAGTGGTTTTAGAAAGACCATTATTGATCATGAAAGAGTCAAATTTTTTGTACCATTGCCGCGGAGCTTGCTTGAGACCATACAAACTTTTCTTCAATTTGCAAACAAATTTCCCTTTCCTTTTTTTCACAAAACCTTCCGGTTGCTCCATGTAAATTTCTTCTTCAAGATCACCATGAAGAAATGCGGTCTTCACATCAAGTTGCTCAACTTCAAGGTTCATACTTGCAGCCATGCCAAGTACAACCCGAATAGAAGACATCTTTATAACCGGTGAGAAAATCTCGTCAAAGTCAATACCTTTCTTTTGCCCGAAGCCTTTCACAACAAGACGTGCCTTGTACCTCAGATTCTTGCCATCATTCTTCAATTTGAAAACCCACTTATTTTTCAGAATTTTCCTTCCTTTAGGCAACTTCACTCAATCATAAGTCTAGTTTTCAAGCAAGGAATTCATCTCCTTGTCCATGGCCTTTTTCCAATCACCTTTCTTTGCATGCTCAATTGCTTCTTGGTAGCTCTCGGGCTCCCCTTGATCGGAAATCAACACAAATTCATTGGGAGGATACTTTCTCGAAGGTTGTCGGTCCCTTGTAGATTTCCTCAACTCAAGTTGTGGTGGTGGTTCTTGAGTTGGATGCTCTTCCTCAATTTCGGGCTCAACTTCATTAGGGTTAGAACCATCATCCACATCTCCAATAGGTGGCTGCATATCTCCCCCATTTTCATCATCAACTGAAGATGAAGGAGATGGATCCATGTCAATGAGATCACTAGTTTTTGGCTCCGGTTGATCACTTTTGCCAAAGTCTTCAATTGTTTGGTCTTCAAGGAACACAACATCACGACTTCAAATGACTTTCTTGTCGACCGGATCCCACAATCTATACCCGAATTCATCATGCCCATAGCCAAGAAAAATACATTGTCTTGACTTATTATCAAGCTTGGACCTCTCATCCTTTGGAATATGAACAAAGGCTCGACAACCAAACACTCTCAAGTGCTCATAAAATACATCTTTGCCAGTCCAAACTCTTTCAGGAACATCACCATTCAAAGGATAGCAAGGAAACAAAATGATCACGTTAACCCTTGTCCTCATTGCCTCACCCTAAAAGGATCTTGGCAATTTAGCTTGTGAAAGCAAACACCTTGTTCTTTCCATAATGGTACGGTTCATCCTCTCGGTAACGCCATTTTGTTGAGGAGTCTTCTTAACTGTCTTTTGGTGCCGAATACCTTGGCTGCGACAACACTCATCAAATGGCCCAATGTATTCACCATCATTGTCTGATCGGATGCACTTCAATTTCTGCCCTGTTTCTCTTTCAACCATGGCCTGAAAATGCTTAAATACTTCTAGAACTTGATCTTTAGTTTTTTGTAGAAAAGCTCAAACTTTCCTTGAATAATCATCAATGAAAGTAACAAAATAAAGTGCACCACTATGTGTTCTAACTTTTAAATAACCGCAAACATCTGAATGAATCAACTCCAAAATATTTTCTTTTCTAGAAGCAATATTTTTCTGAAAAGAAACTCTATGTTGTTTACCCGCCAAACAATGAACACAAGTTTTAAGATGTGTACCTTTCAAACCGGGTAGAAGCTCTTTCTTGAACAAAACTTGTAGCCCCTTCTCACTCATATGGCCAAGCCGTTTGTGCCACAATTCGGTAGAAGTATCATCTTCAAGTGCATTGACAACACGTTTACAAATTTTTCCTTGCATCGAATAAAGTGTGTGAGTCTTCTTACACTTAGCCACCACCAATGAACCTTTTGTGAGCTTCCATATTCCATCACCAAATTTGTTGTTGAAGCCTTCATCATCTAGCTTCCCAGTAGAGATCAAATTAAGGCGAATGTCGGGAACATGCCTCACATCTTTAAGCAACAACTTGCAGCCCAAATTTGTTTCCAAGCAAACATCACCCATACCAATAATCTTGGACAAACCTTCATTACCCATTCGAATAGAACCATAATCTCCTTCGATGTAGGTAGTGAAGAAATCAACTCGATAGGTCACATGAAAAGAAGCACCGGAATCAATCACCCAATTGCTCTCTTGGCCCACAAAATTGATACAATCATCTTCACAAACGACCATGAGATCATCGGTAGTAACTGCCGGTGTGTCTTCTTATTTCTTATCCACACTTTTGTCACACCTTTTCTCCTTGTTTTTGAGCTTTCGGCATTCTCACTTCATGTGCCCTTTCTCATGGCAATAATAGCACTCAATGTCTTTCTTTGAAAAAGAACCATCTTTTTATTTGTCACGGCTTTGATCATGATCATGAGGAGTCTTACTTCTCTCCCTTGTTTTTCTTTGGCCTCTCACAACAAATGCTTCTGAACGAGAGGAACCCGCTGATTTTTTCCTAGTTTCTTTATTCAATAGGCTACTAGTGACTTGGCTTATTGTGACAACTCCATCGGGTACCGAATTACTAACTGTTACAACCAAAGTCTCCCAACTTTCGGGCAAAGAACTAAGTAGCATCAAAGCCTGAACTCATCATCAAAAATAATTTTCATAGAAGCAAGTTGGTTAACAATACTCTTTATTTCATTCAAATGTTCTGGAATTGGGCTGCCATCTTTATATTTTAAATTAACCAACTTACGAAATAGAAAGGTTTTATTTGTGGCTGATTTTCTATCATAAAGATTCTCTAATTTTTTCCATAAATCATGTGTCGAAATTTTAGTAGCAACATGATGAAACACACTGTCATCAATCCATTGACGGATAATACCAACGACTTTTCGATTAAGCCTATTCCATTTATCATCTTTCATACCCTCAGGTTTGCCACTATCACCCTCAATGGGTCCATACAAATCTTTACAAAATAAAAGGTCCTTCATTTTAGTTTTCCAAGTTACCCAATTGCTTCCATTGAAACTAGACATACGACCCACATTCCCCTCCATTGATTTACACAAATAAATAAACTCAAATAAATCGTAAGCTCTGATACCAGTTGTTAGGGAAAGTATGTGATGCCCCACAAGTAATTCAATCAATGGGAATAAAAACTAATGCGGAAAAATTAAATCAAAGGCAACACAAGATTTTTTATGTGGTTCCCTCAATGTGAGGTACGTCCATGGGATCGAAATCCGATTCCACTATCAACCAAATAAGTTTCCAAACGATTACAAACGAGACACGAATGGTCTCACAAAATCACCCTTAGGTGAATTCCAAATAATCACAAATAAACAAGAGGAAATACCTCACCAAATAGATGAACAAAAATCTTCGAAATCAGAATTGTAGAAGACCCAAAATAACAACCCAAATCAACTTCACCAAAGCATCCAAACAAAGATGCACCAAAGCCTATCTCACCGAAATCAATTTGCTGCTGTTCCACAAAGCAATATACCCGAAGCACTCACACCGAATTGATTGATTTCAAATTGCTCTGTATCGGCCGCAACACCTCTTCCAAAAGAACTGGGTTTTGAAATCAAATCCTAATTGTTACCTAATTGAATTAGGCCTCCAAAAATTAGATATAATATATTAAAATATATTATAACTAATACCAAACCAAATTAAACTTCTTTAACCAAAACCAATTGGGTCTCAAACTCCAATAAGTAGATATATCCCAACAGATGTTACTGTATTTTAGACGTGCGTCGTGTTAATTGCTTATGAGATCCACCAATACGACGGCACACCTCTTATCTAATACGTTCAACCAACCATATAATTTTTGTCTAATTGTTTAGACTTTGTGAGCTCTAGCTGTCTCTCAATATAGTTTTAGTTTTAGAAATCATTCTTTCATCCATTGTATTTTATGTGAGAGTAATAAATTGGAAAGAAGCTGCCAAAAAAATATTATAGTGCTTTGTATGGAATGAAATCACAGAACCATTGTTCTATTTCAATGACTAAAAAAGTGCAGTCTTGGTTGTGTGAATCAACTTTAGATTCTGTTGAAAAAAGGAAAACGAAGAAGACTAAGAGGTATATTTACCAGGAGGAGTAGCATATCCAACAGATTCTCTTATGCCAACTGAACTTGATTGATTTGCAGAACAGACAAGAGATGGTTTCTGGAAGGAATCTTGCTAATCCAAAGTCACTTACCTGCGCAGTCATTTCATTGTCTAAAAGAACATTGCTCGGCTTGAGATCACAATGAACTACTGGTTAAGGGCAGTGATTGTGAAGATAATCAAGTGCAGAAGCAACATCAATGGCAATATTTAACCTCTGTAGAAGGTCTAAATTCCTCGAGTACTCGTGTGCCTCATCTTCGTTCTCATTTTCATTTAAACCAATCCTCTAGGCTACCGTTGACCATAAACTCATAAACAACAACTTTGAAATCGTCACTGTGATAGTCAACACTTGAACATGCTGTGAGAACCTTGACAAGATTCCGATGTTTGATGTGCCTCAAGGCCTCACACTCAGCAAAGAAACTCTTGGAAGCACCACGACATTGAAGATTTAGTACCTTTACTGCTACAATCTTTTCACTTTGACAAAGAATTCCTTCGTACACCGAACCAACACCGGTCAAATTGGATGGAGAAAAGCCATCAGTAGCTTTAAGTAGACTTTGATAGGACAATTTCAAAAATGAGTTCCCTAACGTCGTGTTTGGTTGGGGGGATTTGAGAAGGGATTTGAAAAGGGAAAGGGAAAAGGAAAAGGTGTGTGAAATTAGATGAAATGTAAATATATTTTATTCACATTTCACCTATCTTTTCCTTTTCTCTTTCCAAATCCCTTCTCAAATCCCCCAATCAAATACAGTGTAAAGATATCACAAAGGGTACTTTTGATGTCTTTTTGAACCAACAAAAATATAGGAAACACAACATCAAAATTAGTCCTAGAAGCCCAACAGATGTGGGAATTATTAATTTCAAGGTGAGAGAAAATCGTTTCCTTGTGAATCCTTTGGAGTTGCAACTGTGTAGTTGTAATTCAAGTATTCCACCACAAAGCTTGGTGATTCCCTTAACTGAAACTACAGTTGCATTCTTAAAAACACCTTTTTTTGGTGCATCACCTTCAAAATCATTGAATGATAGATCTAGTTTTCGTAAGAAGACAAAAACCCCTTACGTTGTGTTTGGTTGGAGGATTTGAGAAAGGATTTAGAAAGAGAAAGGAAAAAAGTGTGTGAAATTAGGTAAAATGTACGTATATTTTATTCACATTTCACCTATATTTTCCCTCTTCTTTTCCAAATCCCTTCCCAAATCCCCTTACCAAACACAACGTTAGTAATCTGGTATTTTTTCTAAGAAATTATTGTGAGAGAAATCTAATTCCTCCATACCTCTCAAATAACTTAAAGATGATAGAAGGATTCCCCAAAATTTATTGCCCTCCATATATAATAATCTCAGTTTTACAAAGCTGCCAATAGTACTTGGGATTTCACCAGACAACATATTCTTGGAAAGATCTAATTGCTCTAAATTTTTTAAATTTCCAACTTCCACTGAATGGGAACCAGTCAATTCATTATGAGACATGTTTATATACAATAATGATGAGAGGCTGACAAGTTCCCCGGGTATGGTACCACTAAGATCGTTTTGCTCAAGACTTAGTTCCACCAAATATTGGCATTTCCCCAAACTTCATGGGATGCTGCCATGAAGATTATTTATGGATAATCTAAGAGCTGTTAATGAAGTCAAATTTTCAAAAGACAATGGTATAGTCCCCATAGAATTTATTGGCTGAGAGATACAATTTTTGTAACTTTTGAAGCTTCCCAATATCAGCAAGAATGTTAATTGTGAATTGGTTGTTTGACATGTCGCGAAACTGTAAATTTACCAAATCCCCATTCTGGTTAGGATGCTTCCAACTATTTTTTTGTTCTGCAAGCGAAGTTTACCAAGATTAGTGGAGAAATTACTGATAGATTCAGGAAACACCCCTCCAAAGTTGTTGCTGCTCAGATCAAGGAAGTTCAAATTGGTGGCTTGGACCCACGAGTTGAGAAAATTCAAGTCACCAGCTTCTCCAATTCCGAGATTATTAAAAGTTTAATCGTACAAGATCATGCATATGTTCCAAAGGAGGCACTCTTCCAATAAATTTATTGCTTCCAAAGTCAAGGTGATATAGCTTGGTGGCATCAGACATTGAAATAGGAATGGACCCAGTAAACAAATTCAGTCCACTGTTAAGCCATTGAAGATTAGGAAGAGTAATTTCGATGTTTGAGGGAAGCGTCCCCTGAATTTGGTTCCCAACTATATCAATAACTGTGATGGAAGAGAGATTAAAGATGGAGGAAGGAATGGAACCAACCAACTTGTTTTGCGTCAATGCAAGACCATTTAAATTTGTCAATTGGCTTAGGATTTTAGGTATATTCTCATTGATACCATTAAAAGATGCATAAAACATAATTAAAGATGATAGATTACCAAAAGTAAAGAGGACACCTCCGGTTCCCATGAGTTCTTTACTTATTCCTTATTGGTTATGGGATTGCAAACGATGGGACCAAGTATTCCCCAATAAAAACTCACGGGAAACAAATTCAGGTAAAGAAGGGTACATTTTCATGCAGAGAGATATTGATGCAAAGGAAAGCCTCTACGGCATTGCTGTGGATGCGTCATATCCCACCGCATAAAGTTGACTATTACAAGTAAATGACGGTAAAACTATAGATATCGCTAGTCAATGTGGCTTCTCCATAACTCTTGTTTGCTCACTAATAGGGCATGGCAAGAATGTGTATGTAGTACATCATTGTGCACTGAATCACGGCCTTGGCATATATATATAGGCCAAAGAACCATTGAAACCTTTGAATCATGTTCTTCATATATACATGGGGAGTATGATGTGTTTCTTTCCCTCAATTCACCCACTTTCAATACAATCCATTTAAGTTGTGGGCCCCACCAAATTGCCAATCCAATCTCAAAATTATACCGTGTCACGCCCTCAAAATAAAGACATAAAACCCATCAATATAGACATGCATTGATATATAAAAGTTCCACATTCTTCCATTCATCAGAGTTTCATTACAAAAAGTATTACATGTTAACGACAAAAGCAAATGCCCTAAAGGCTTACAGCTTTTCAAGTTAACACTTGGTTCCAACAAAAAAGTGCTAACTCATTTACACATTAAGCCCTTGGCTTGAATATACATGTAATACATCAAAGAAATAAAACAACAAAAGTCCGCCTGCCTCTAGCCTCCCAAGCTACGTCCTTGGAGGTGGCATGCTACCTGTACCTGAAAATGATATTCCCATATAGGGTGAGCCACAGCCCAGTAGAAATACACTAAACCAAATATGAACAATGACTAAAAGATTAGCAGTTGATAGATGGCCAACACTGATATTTTCCCTTATCACACTTTACATTTTCATGACATACAAGTCCATGTTACAATCCATTTTCCAATTCTTTTCAATTCTCTAAGTGCATCTAAAAAAGTAAAAACAAATGTTTAAATTTTTTAAAAATATTCACTAAAAACAAAAAAAAAATACGAAAATTAAAAAATTCAATTTTCAAAAAACTTAATTCAGAAAACTCAAAAATGTACATGCAAACTACAAAAATAAAAATTTCCTATCAATTATATTTATTATATTTATTATATCAATTATATTTGGGCTACTAATTACTTTTTAGTCGCTAAAAAAATAAGTTCCGCCTAAAAATAACTAGTTTTGGCGACTAAACCTGTTTTTAGTCGCCAAAAACGTCCCCTTTGGCTACTAAACTGAATTTTAGTCTCCAATTGCCTGTTTTTAGCTACTAAATTTTTTTTAGTAGCCAAAAAGCTTCACTTTCAGCGACCAAACTGTTTTTAGTTGCCAAAATACGTATAATCGGCGACCAAACTGTTTTTTAGTCGCCAAAATCCATATAATCGGCGACTAAATTGATTTTTAGTCGCTAATAACTATACATTTGGCTACTAAATTGTTTTAGTCACCAAAAGTCTTCACTTTTGGCTACTAATTCCATTTTAGTCGCCGAAAGTGCTACTTTCAGCGACAAAAATTTTTTTTTTAGTCGCCATTTGTTCTATTGCAGGTAGTGAACTCTCAACACAATTTATACTAAGCTTTGACAATCTCTTAACCCGTCTAAATTACACCAATAATTGTCACTAGATATGGGTATGAAAACTTATTCAACTAATATAAATAATAATATTATGAATCAAATTTCACATTTTTCCATGCCAAACATGCATCTAGGTTTTATATAGCTAAAACCCCAACTCTTGTAAATTTACACAAAAGCCCCCAAACTTTCACAAATTTACCAAACCAACCCCAACATCTCAAAATACTAAAATTTAAAGACAAAGCTCATAAAGAGGAGTAGGATATCCCTACCTCGAAGTTAGAGCCCGGATGGAGAAGAAGCCAAAATCAAAGTGCTCCAAAGACCAAGATTTTCAGGTCAAAACGACGCCCTCGACGATCAACACAACTTTTACAAAGGCCGAAGAGAAGGAGGACACTCTAACTAGATCAAACCCTAGAGAGAAGGGAGTATCTAGAGAGAGGCTTTCAAAAATGGTTTTTAGAAAAAGTAGGAGAGGGAAAGAAAAGCAAAAAGTGATTTGAAATCACCCAGCAGAAAACTCATATACGTATGACCCGCTCGAGCGGAGAGAATAGAAAGCTCGAGCGTCAAGCACAAAAATCTGGACACGCTCGAGCGCAACAAGGCCCGCTCGAGCGCCAAGACACAGGAATAAAGCACATCCGCTCGAGCGAGAAAACCAGTCCGCTCGAGCGCAAATCTCTCTCTCCCAGAACCCTCACCAAGACAGTACTACCCGCTCGAGCGCCAACAATCCCGCTCGAGCGCCACCCGCTCGAGCGCAGAAATCACATCTGCAAAAGTTTTGCAGAAACCCGAAATACTGGAGGTGTGCAATCCCCGCTCGAGCGCAAGAAGACCCGCTCGAGCGGAACGCCTAAAAACTGAACAACAAGGAATTGAAACCAAGACCTAACCAACCTGTAACAACCCTGTTCAAAACATCCTAAAACTCAATCATGTGGAATTAAAGGACACAACAAGATAGATACCACTACCAACTTCGCGGAACCGAGTCCGGAATACAACAGAACAGTAAAGGGATAACCGGGATCGCTATATACCGCCTCACTTTGCCAATAATACCTTAAATTATATTATAATTACACAAGAATTGCTTCAAATTTTATTTTTTCCCAAAATTACAAACACAGCATATAATAATATCTCGTTCATTCATTCGCAAAAGCACAAAACACAAAGCAGCTTACAAATATGGATTAACAGAGTCAAAAGTAGACCAGACAAACCTTTTCTGGTGCTCCTACGATTTAAAAAAAAAATATTCTCTCCCTCAAACATCTCCTCTTAAACAGAAACTAGCTACAACACAAACTAAATGTTGTCCTTCAACACCTAGTTACCAGACTGGCGCAACTCTGGCCGAACAAAGTCAGCATTAGGAGGCACAGAGATGTCAACAGTAGGTCTCAGTCGAGCACAAACTTCCATCGCCCCATGCACGGGATCTGACAAGAAGTTGCTGATGAGGTCCTGGTCGATAGGATCACCATTGTCTACCGCCACAAAGGCCCACTGGGTCAGAATGTAGTCAAAACGCGAAGCCCACTTCCTGGATCCTAGCCGAGCTGTGGTTGAACAGTTATCAACCATGAACGAGACTCCATGGGCATGCATGAATGGATTCAAAGAATCCACAGCCTCGATTATGCTTTCGTTGATGATCTCAGAGTAGGAGTGTCCTTTCTTCCTCAAAACCTCAATCTGTTTTCATATATATATATATATATATATATATAATTTATAAAGATTATGTCAGACCAAATGGTTGAAGATAACAAATATTCTCAGTGCAATATTAGTGTTCTACAATATAAATATCTTTCTTTTCACCATGTGAAGTTCCATAAGATAAAAATTAGACACAAATTCAAAAGAGATGCCATTATTTGATTCAACCTAACAGAGATCTATCCAATAAACCTTCTTCATTGACCATGCTTAAATGAACACTATTTTAAAAGCAAACCTAGCAATTTAAGTACAGTGCATGGTGACTCCTTTGACAGTACAATCCAAACTCAACACACTAACGTAGAACGGTGCTTACCTGGGTCATCATTAATGCCACATAGACACCAGTTGTGAAGGAACATAAAGGGCCTAGGTCACCAACTGGACGTGCTGCTCGAACCTGTTCACCTACTTTCCACATCCTCGTCTGATCAATTTTACCCATTGGGAAAGCTGGCAACCCATCCTTTTCCTGTAAGATTTGAGGGAGGTGGGGAAGCAAAGGCATTCAGCGACACAAGTAAGAAAATATCTCATGTCACTAATAATTTTTAGCATCATCATAAAGAACACAAAGGTTTCACAAGCCTGTATATAACATAACACGCATAGTACCTACCATATTTTGACACGTATGCAAAAAATAGAAAACATACATAAAAGCGACGCCCAGCCAAGACAACACTCCGGATCTTGCTACAGCTGGCTACATCCTCATAGCACTCATATAATATACACATGGAGGGATAGTAAGAGGCACTATATGCAGCCTCAAACTCCCTTTTGCCATCTTCTGACAATGAATTATACACCGCCAACATGCCCTGTTCAGAGGGAATAAAACAAGCAACATACGGCTAGGTAAACATACTCGTTTTGAAAAGATAAAGAATTTCAAAACTGGTAAAGAATCGAGGCACAAAACTTCTTGTAAGGGATGAAATCCAAGATTTTGATCACTAACCTGAGTTGATATGGTCTTCGAAATATTCCCTGTTATGCACTCAACGGTATTCTTGTAAGCCAAATCTTCACTCATTCCATTTTCAGTATACCTTCTGAATAAGGTCTCAACAATTCCATGCACAGCACTGAGTAAAATGCCTATGAATCAAAACAAACAAATCTTGGATATAGCATTGTGGTGAATAACAAAATAAGAATGAAGAAAACCACAAGCACCTCGCTCGCCAAATATGTCACTCTTGTATTCCTGTTCCAGTGTAGTGGCAAATGTAAAAGGAGAACCAAGGGCAACTGACCATCCAAGGGCAACATCAGTGGCCATGCCATCAACATGCTGTCCACAAAGATGTTGAGTAGCTAAGTCAAATGAAACATACAGAGGCAATAAGAAAACACAGAGGGTTTATATATATATATATATATACCTGGTGTACGCCAAAACTAGAATTTATTCCAGCACCATTTATCTCTTTTCCTTGAACATAGAGTCTCCTCACAGACGGACCCATTCCCTTGGGACATAAAGCTATCACACTCATGTTCTTGGGGACATCAAGACCCATTGACTGCAAATGGCCAAGAAGAAACCCATGGGATAGCCCAAGTATGCTGTTTGGCTTCATGTGGGTGAATATTTCCTCATAATTATCAGCCTGCAATTAATATTGAAATTAAGAACAAGTACAAGAGGACTGAATAGAATAAAGAATATAACACACACCCACATCATGTTAAAATGTACAAATCATCTAACCAACACCATTATATTCATCATTACTAGGCCTAAATTGACTACAGTCCAACTAAGTCTCATAATCTTGTCATTATTATGACAAGTCACTTCTTTTTCCTTTTTTTTTAGTAGGTGCATGATTTGTTTATATTTACCTCTATTTGGCCTTCACTTGCACTGAGTTGTATTTTTTTTGGTTTTCTTCCTCTTTGAAGGATCCCTGATCCTTCTTTCCATGAATTCTGTCATTTTGATAAATATGCTGGCTTTTTTTTGTTCTTTAAAATAAACTATATGCAAGCCACTAATATCAATTTAAGATTTTATAGATCTAAATTATCTCTCATCTTGCATTCATATACTCACAACATATAATTGAAGAGATTCATCATTTGATCACTTTACCTATTACACAAGGCACAGAAAGCAAGACCAGGAATAGGAGAACCTGCTAGCTTTCTGGATGATGCAAGTTATTTCACATCCAGCATAAGGAGCAGCAGATTTGGCAGAATTAAATATCTTCTAGATGTAGCATTAAAGAGAAAGTGCAGAAGTTATGAATTCATAGATCATATTCACTCTTTTTTTTCTTTTTTCTTTTTTGGAATAAATAGGAGTAACTTTATTAGAAAAAGAGCATCAAGATGGTGCTAACAAATACATAGATCATATTCTCTCTTAAACCCCAATAGCTGTGAAGGCAGGTTTAGGAATAAGAATTCACTAATTTAATGCTATACTTAAATTTTGAAGCACAAAAAGCAAGAACAGAGAAACTAATAATATTTATATGTAGTGATTTCTTCTACATTCAGCAATAAAAATAAAAATAAAAAGAAAGAAAAAGATACTAGATTTTAAAATTTCAAGAGGACACAATTTCATATTCTCAGTTTTTCTTACTTAAAACCCTGGTAGTTGCAATGGAGAAGCATGGGAATGTATAACCATAAGCTTTTTTTTTCCAAATTAGTTGGGGTCTCTGAGAATGTATAATCATGTAGCAACATCACGTCAACTTTACAATCTACAAGCCACAGAAATCAAGAGCAGCACCAAATCACTGCCAGATATTGTCTCCCATATGTCACCAAGGGTTCCATTCTCTTCACTAAAACCGGCAGCGCGTGCCTCAGCAAAGGAACGAGAACCCTTCCTGAGACCAATCTGTATTACAAAGCAAACACAACAAACATGTTAAGATAGACCAATTCACAGAACAAAAAGAGAGAAATAAATATAATATCAAAAGTAATGCAAACAACACCTTGACCACAATGTCTGATTTTGCTTCTGCAAGAGAATCCCTCAGATTTTGTGCCTGAGCAGGGCCCTAAAATGAAAAAGAATGATGTTTCTCATTGTATTAATAGATATCCTTATTAACAATGTTCATCTATTAAAATCCCACATTCATGACAGCACTAATAAATTGAATTTAGAGTATGAAAATTCATTAATCCAACCAAATAGAGGGAAAATGTTGCACATTTGGACAAAATTACCAATATATCCCTTCACTCACAACAAGTTATACAAAACAATGCCAACAAATGCATTTACTAATGTATCAGGCCAATATCAAAATCACTATATTTTTGCATTAATTTCCTCAGTCCAAAATCAAATCAATAAATAATAAAAAATAAAAAATAAATTAAAAAACACAGATCTTCTTTTCTGTTCTTTTCTTTTTTAAATAGGTAGGTCAGTTCATTTCTGGAGCAGACCACCATTTGTAAAACCACTACCTATGTTTGCTTTGGTTTTTAGAAACTTGTTTCAAAAATTCTTTCTAAAAAAGTAAAAATTAGTTTCATGAAAAAATTAAAAACACTTATCATTTTTATATAGTCCTATCATTTTGGATGACAAAAATAATTTTTAAAATTTATTTTTGTCAAACTAGTTTCTAGTTTTCCAAAAAAAAAAAGAAAAGAAAAGAAAAGAAAAAAGATCTATAGATTGAAACCAAACATAGTCATATCCCCTCCCCACTGGCTCAAAGATAAAAAGAAATTAAAGGTTTGTTCTTTCAAATTTGTAGATTCCATGAGTTCATTTATAAAAATTTACACCCACCAATTACCCCAGCAAATAAAATTAATATATATATATATAATATCATGAATAGAAGTAAACACAAAATCAGAACAACACTACATTGCATAACAACAATATAAATTACAAGCTGACATCAAAATAGGACAAAACTTAATGCACCATTTATTACAATAGAACCAGGAAAAGAAATGCATTTTGATAGATAATCGAGGTTTTACCATTGTCTAGAGTTTCAAAACAAAAATGTAAATGAACATAATTTTCCAGCTTCCAAAATGTTTTGTAATAAGGGTTTGGATTCTCTCAAGTTGGCCATCTCAATTAAGAGAACATTTGGTCTTGGCAGGACCATTTTGGAGCCAACCTTGGTGATCCTAACTGTTCACTTTCTAGAACTCATTGGTAGAATATTCATGCAAAAGATAAAATGATAAAACATTAGTAAATATATGTTTGGATCACATTTGTATTACAAAAAATGGATCGTTATTCTTGAAATTATAATTGTCGTCCATTTTTTTAAAACAAATGTAATTCAAATATATAGCAACCAATATCCGATCATCTGGATTTTTTAGATGAATATTCTACTCAAACGAGTACTACAAAGCGAACAGTTCGAATCATCATCGAGCTCAAAATGGGCCCACAAAGCTCAAACGCTCTCTCAAGTTAGATAGCCAAATTGAGAGAATTCGAACCCCTATAATAAATCCTAATGGTGTGTTTTGAATTATAGATTTAAATAGAAATTTGGAAAGAAAAATAAAAAAGGAAAAAGATGACAATGTGAATGAAATAAGAGCATCTAATTCTTTTTTCTCATCTTCCAACTTCGGCAAAACACAAAACTTGAGTTAAAAATTCAAAGGTTTGAGTTCTCTGTTGCTTGTGGCGTGAAGATATCTAAATCATGCATTACTTGGCTAAACCAAGTTTACCTTTTTGGAAACAAATATTTCAATTTCCCTTTTTCCCAAACTAAAATATATATATATATATATATATACCCATCATGCCGTGTGCAATAAACATTAAATTCAATCTTGAATATTATATTTTAACATTTTGCTCCAATGGTTTTCACTCTACAAACACAGGAATAGTAAAATACAATAATCACATAAATAAAATAAACTAAAAACTAATAACAATAATCAGAAGTGTTACAAGATCAAGGTAATGAAGGAGTGACCAATACCTGTGAACCCCAGCCAATAACACCAATTTGCTTAAGGCACTTGAAGGCATCAGGTAGCAACGGAAACAGATCCCTCCCTCCTCTAACAATATACTACAAATGCACAACACAATCATCACACACACACACACACATATATATATATATACAGAGAGAGAGAGAGAGATATGTTGAGAGAGCAAGTGAGGAAATGGAGAAAACACCTCGTCATGGCCAGCAAGAGTAATTTTCTCCTTCTTGAACACTGAGCTTTCGAAATCAAGTGAAGTCATCTCGGGCATAGAGTCCATGCGAGCTCCTAGAGCTGAGCCTAACCCAACCCTATTTCCAAGCATGACTTGAGCTTTGAGAGATTTCAAAGCTATCTTCGAAGACGAAGACGAGAGAAACCCAAGATTGAAACCTAGGGTTTTGAAGGCAGGCTTCAGGGTTTTGGAGGACAAAGATGCAGAACCAGCAGCGGCAGCCACTGAGGGAGAGAAGGAAGTAGCCGCCGACATGGATGACTGAGACTAAAGAAATCATTGAGAGATCAGGCAGTGATAAGTAGGTGTGTGTGCAGTGTGATTCAGTGCTGTTTAAGCGTAAAAATCATGCGGCGGGTGACAGATTGACAAATTTGTCATTAGAAACCACCATTTTTCTATCAAAAACCGACAAATTAGTTGGCAAATAACAACAGTTTCAACTTGGCAGTTCGGGAGGTTTGGCGAATTATAGAAAACTTAATTCAAATTACAAAACTCGAATTAAATATTTTTTAAAAAATTAATTTATAAATCAATTGAACCAGTCAAAATTAAAATAGATATCCATTCATCTAACATTCAACGTTGACAAACTAGCAAATTGAAATTCCAACAATCCAAACAAATTATATAATAACAATCCAAAACCACTGCCTAAGCCTTCCAAGTGAAAAAAAAAAGAAAAGAAAAAAAGTGTTAATTTGCTTCTGTACCACCACAATCTCTCTTTTCAAGTTGATAAGGTTTGTTGGTTTATATATATATATATATATATATATGGGGGCAGTTTGCCTCCGGTCCTTAATCGAACTGGACGGTGCTGTTCGGCCTGTGAGAATCCACCATGGGTCCCGTTTTGATAATCCGAACCGTTCAATGTGTAAAACTCGTCAGGTACTGTATACTTGTAAAAAATCACTCTGATTGATATCGATAGCTATCTCATCTTATCAGTTTTTTGTCGACCGTTAATTTGTTCACCGTCCATTTTTTTTATATATAAAACTGATTTGATCACATAACTGTCGATATTCGATCAACGTAATTTTTTACATGCATACGATAGTCGACAAGTTCTACATATTCAGTGGTTTGGATTATTAAAACAGGACCCGTGATAGCCCTTACGGACAGAACAGTACCGTCCAATCCGATTAAAGACTGGAGGCAAGCTGCTGATACATATATATAGACGAATTTTTTTTATCATCCAAAAATAAAATAATCATTCTTACCCAATTTATCACCAAAAAAAAATAAATAATCATTCTTACCCAGTTATTAGTACAAAATAAAAATTGAGTTTGAGTTTTTTGGATTAAGTTTTTTAAAAATTGAATTTTTTGATTTTCGTATTTTTTTAGTGAATATTTTTAAAATTTTAAATATTTTTTTTACTTACTTAGATGTATGTAAAAAATAAAAATAAAAATTGTGAAAAAATATTTTAAAAAATTAATAAATACATAAAAAAAACAAAGAAAATGTACTGAATTCTCTTTTTTTTTTGTTTTTGTATTTTTGGTATTTAGTGAATTTTTAAAACAAAATTTTTACTTTTTAAAGTATATTTATGTTAGGTATGTTTAAAAATTAAAAAAATACTTAAAATATTAAAAAATTTAATAAAAACAAAAAAAAATTCAAAAAAAAAAAAGAAAATAAAATTTTCTGAAAAATGTTTTTACAAAACTCTAATCAAGCAATTAGAATACAATTTAAAGAAGAATATTACTTGACAGTAGAATATTTAGTTAGTACATTGTTAAAATCACTCAATGTTCATCAAATATAAGAATTTTTCAACCTCTCACAACTTCACAATAAATAGAATCAGGTCAGCAAAAAACAAGAAAAAAGAAACAGACTGTGGGAGGGAGGGAGGGAGAGAGAGAGAGAGAGAGAGCAGAAAGAGAAAGAAAGAGAGACTTACCAAATCGGCAAGCTGTATGGCGATCTGAGGAGACTAGCTGGCGGCGGTGGCGGGCAATCGGCAAGGTGAGGAGGAGCGAGATGGAGACACAGAGTTCGTAAAATGAATGAGATGTTTTGGGACTGTGGATTAGGTTAAGGAGCCGTAAAATCAGTTATTTTAGTAATTTTTTAATTTTTTTAGTTAAAATATGAATTAAAAAAAATTAAGAATGCTGTTACGAAGCCCGCTCAACAACAACTGTTGTGCAGTAAAATGGACCTATTTCAAGACCTATTTTGATAATTCAAAACGTTCACATTTTAGAATACATCAAATAGCACATATTTGTAAAAAAATCAAGTTATTCAGATATCATTTGTCTATTCATCCACTAACATTTATATTCATTTTAATAATTTAAATCACAATTATTATTTATTTTTATAGATACAAATGTAAGTGGATGAATGGGTAAACGATATCCGATTAACTTGATTTTTTTACAAGCATGTTCTACTTGGTGTATTTTAAAATGTAAACGGTTCGTATTATCAAAATTAGCCCATTTCGCCGCATAGCAGCCCACGTAGCAACATCTCCAATTTGTAAAAAAAATTGGTATATTTAGAATAACTTTTGATTTTTTATGAAAATATATGCAAAAAGTAGAGAGAAAATGAAATCTTTGACTTTTTTGTATAGGTTATAGGCTTTTTGATTTTTTTAGTAACTTTTTGACTTTTAAACTAAAACAAGCACATGCTTAAAACAACTTTTAGCTTAAATTGAGCTGTTTTGGTGTGTTTGGTAGAACTTACGGAGATATATTATAGCTTTAATTAAGTCATTTTCAACTTAAATTTGTAAGCAGCTCGGGGGGTGCTTTTTGATTTCAGCTTATGTACACAGCTGAAAATGGGGGCATAAATGACTCAGATGTCCCTCCAAAACTTCAAAAATTACGAAAATGCCATTATATAAACCCCTTTCTCTCTTGACCTACCACCCTTCTCTCCTCTCACACGGCACTTCTTTCTTCTCCTCTCATTTCTGGCGAACGACGAAGAACTGCTTCCACATCTCTAAGATCACAGGCGATCGTTCACTTTGGTCCCCTGTTTTCCGTTGATCTCCACCAAAAAGATAAGATTTTAAACCCTATGTTTGTTATATATAGATAGATATATATATATATACACACACACATCGATTTAGGGTTTGTTTTTGTTTTTGGTTGCTCTGTGAAATGGTGCATCCGATTATTGAGAAGCTCTCTCTCTCTCTCTCTCTCTCCCTTCTCTTTCTGATTACTGTAAAATGGTGCATCCGATTACTGTCAAATGGTGTGCATCCGATTACTGAAATGGTGTGCTCCTGTTTTCAAGTGATCGTTTTTTGTTTTTGTTTTTGTTTTTGAAAATAGCTGAAAAGCTAGTGTTTGTACGTAAGTAATTTTCATTTTTTTCAAATAATGGAGGTCTGAAATTTTAAAAAATTTACTTTCTTTTCCTTAATTTTCTCAGTATTATCTAGGGTTTTTAATTCTTTTATTATTTTTATTTATATGTATTTTTAGATTTTGAGGGCATTACTTTGGTGAACCTAGGGTTTTATACAATTTCTAATCATTTTTGAACTGAGGAATGTCATTCTTCTAAAATTTGTACATGTTCTTCAAATTCTGGGTCATATTACAAGGATAAGTGTTTTGGTTTGCATTTCCAATGTCCCAAACAGATTCTGGAAAAACTAGTTAGTAATTAATTGTAAATGATATATATATGTTGCAAAATTATATTGGTATGGCCCCAATAGTTGACCTACAACCTAATTTTTTTCTGGTAAATGAATTACATTAAATTCTCTACCTATGCACCCAAGGCAACCCCAACTTGCTCTAACCTGAACCAACTCTCTACCCACAAAAATGTTTATTTTGCAAATGAATGTAAGAATTATTTGTGATCCCCATATTGAAAATAATGCATTTTATTAGATGTATGTCAATTCAAACTCAAAATCAGATTAGAAGAAATGGTGTGCATCCATATATAAGAAGCAACCGTAAATACTATTCTCATTTCAAAGTAATAATTAACTACAAATGGAACTTGGGTGTTACATATAATTAACGTTGTTAGGATATTTCTAATAATGAATAAATATATTTTTATTCTAAATTTTGTACTAGGATTGTATTGGAGCAATTGACGGAACATACGTCAAATCATATATATCTCCAGATAAGCAATCTTTTTTCATAGGTAGAAAGGGATATGCAACTCAAAACATAATGGTCGCATGTGACTTTGATATGTGTTTCACATTTTGCTTGCCAAGATGGAAAGAAAGTGCACACGATACTCGGATCTTCTTAAATACAATTAGGAATCCTAGTTATAATTTTCCAAAACCACAAGGAGGTAACTGTTTTACATTTATAATTGCTTACTTTAATTTCATTTTGAAATTTTAAAATAGATGAGTTTTACTTGGTGGATGTTGGGTATCTAAACATAAAAGGATATCTTGCACCTTACAAAGGAGAGAGATGCCATCTAGCTGAATTTGAATATGGTCAACCCCCCTAAAATGCACAAAAAAAATTCAACCAAGCACATTCATCACTTAGAAGTGTAATAGAAAGAACGTTTGGGGTTTGGAAAGTAAAATAGCCGATAATAAAGGATATCCCACCAAACTACAAGTGGCGAGTGATCTTGTCTTTTGAGATCAACGAGAGAGAGAGAGAAGAGCAGCGTGATATATCAAATTTCTCTGTGATAGATAGGTGTGGAGTTTAGGGACTTTAGACATCAAAAAATAATATTGTGGATCTCTTCCATTACTAAAAATGGGACAGGGACCTTACACTAATTTTCCATTTTTTCTATTTGTTCTATTTTCCCTTTTCTAGACATATATCTCGAACCCTAGTTCAAACCCTATTTGTTCTAATGCCTTGTTTCAAATTCTGCAAATCCTTTTAAACATTAGATGTCAAAAAATAAATAAATTGAGGTAATGTAAAAATGTACCAATATAGGTACTAATTATATTAATTTCCATTAATGAAATAATTTTTTCAAAATTTAAAGTGAAGAAAATAACAAAATTACAATTTTTATGTTCATAAGGGAAAAAATGACAATTATACAGCAAAAAACTATTTTACAGCTTATTTACCAAACACTACTCTGCTGCTTAAATCCATAATCTCACAACTGCACCAAACAGGTTACCAGCTTATGTTCACAGCTATAAGCTATAATTTATAATCACTTTCCCATAACTCTACCAAATGGGGCCTAGTTGGGAATTGATTGTGTGTGTGCCTGTGAATGTATTTGCATTTGGTTTGATAGCTTTAGAGCTTATTTGGCATGACCTACACATTTTTTTTTAAAAATCTTTGCAGCAAGTTCCTCTCCAGTTGAAAATTCAATTAGAGGATACTATTAGGCCTCTGTGAGCTCATTATAGAGCCTGCATTAATAATCTAAACCATTCACTAAATAGGGCTCATCAAGTATTTTATCCTTACAAAAAACCACATCAATCGAATATCAATAAACACTCGATCGAATCACATTTGTATCAACAATTTATATTAAAAATTATATTTACTGTTAACACAAATATGATTAGATCAAGTGAATATCGATACCCGATTAATATGATTTTTTACAATAATGAAGCACTCGACAAGCCCTACATATTGAACGGTTTGGATCATCGATGCGAGCTTCGTGGTGGGATCACGGATGCCCAATAGCACCATCCAATCCGATTTGGACTGGAGAGGAGCCTGCTCCTTTATCTTTTTATCTTTTGGGGTCATATCACCTTTTTACTTTTCTATACATTTTTTTTGTAAAAATACTTATTTAAATCATCACAAACAACTCATTAATCTAAGAGTTAGATAAAGATAAATATAAATACATAAACTAATGGTGAGGCAGTTAGCAGGTTGATTTTTTGGAATCGTGCCGACTCATCACAACCAAAACCTTCACCCGCCCCGCTATAATTCAAATAAAGCGTACTTTAGATGATTTTGATTGTATTTTTCACAATCCTAATAATAACCGAGTGTATAAATTTGAGATTTCTATGATGCGCAGTGTGCATTGTGCAACTTATAAGAGTATTTCTAATCTTTTATCTTTTCTTTTATCAAATTTAAATTTGATAAAAAAAATTAAAAATAATCAAATCAAGAGAGGGTTTTTTTTTTCATCAAATTCAGAACTCATCAAATCTTTTTATCAAATTTGAATTTGATGAAAAAAAAATTAAAAAATGAAACATTGGAAATTATTTTTTTTTCATCAAATTTGATGAAAAGAAAAAATGAGGATAATATACAAAAAATTTAAGAAAAATTTTAAAATAATTCATATCAAATTAAATTTTTTTACTCAAAATTAGATGAAAATTTAGTGAAAGATTGGAGCGCACACAAAACAAAACTTGTGTGAATTTAGTAGACGTGTGAGTACATCATCTTTGTGCCACATGGTTCACGAGTTGTTAAGGTAGCGTTTGGTTGTGAAAAGGAACCCAAGAGGGTGTGTCACTTTGGTAAGATTTTGGGCATAAGTCTTAAGGTCTCAGGTTTCACTCTCTTTAGGGCCCGTCATTCAAGCAACAACACATATGATTAGTAAGACGGACATTCTAAGCCTAGGCGAACCGTACCTAGTGTTAGGAGTATGGGTTTGAATTCCTGCCTTTATATGAGTCCGTAACTTACCGCTATATGGTTGAGTGATCCTGCTATGTAGCAACCAGCTAAGAATGATCTTTGCAATCTCGACTCCTCGTAGGGTATACCCTCAAAAGTTACTCCTATATAGTTAGACCCTTTGGTTGTGAAAAGGGAAAAGTAGGTGTGTTTTTTATTATTATTTTATTTTATCCATATAAGGCAGGTACGTCAAAGACTTTTAAGATTAATATGGTTAGTTCAATGGTAAGATTTTCAAATTCTTTACTCCAAAGTTTGGGTTTGAGTCTTTATAACCTTTAGTTGGGGTTAAACATAATTCTTAGCACCTGACATTGGGGCAATGAGATTCCCTACAGATATGTTGTGGATGCTAAAGGGTAATACTTCCAAACGAGTATGTGGAATAGCATATCTACATATC